GGGAGTGGGTGCTATAGAAATGATCTAGATCTACATTAGTACATGTATTACTATTGTTTATAAATGGGGGGGAAAATTGCTGTATTTTACGATATGACTTAGTGTTAAAACAATACCATGCCGTTTTAATACAGAAAATATCTTAAATAGATATTAATACAGATTACCGGTGTATCGAAGGTTTCAAGAGAAAAATAGAACAGGGTCTGATGTGATTGGAGCATAAGCTTATTTTGTATTTAGAGGTTGTTTCGAAAATCCCTCGTCAATTTTTTTGTTTTTTATAGATTAAACCTCATACTCTTCTAGATTTTTGCATGAACCAAGTACCCTGTATGTACTAAATTTGGTCAAATTTTATGCCTACATTCAAAAGTTATTACGAAAACCGAGGGTTCCGTTATTTTGTGTCACGGGTTATCATATTATATTTGATCGATAACTTTATTGTTAACGTACTCGTGTGTTATTACTAGTAAATGTTGTTAATAACATTTGATGAATTTGTATTGTGGGTCATAATTTTTTTAAAGGCTGTGCTGCTTTTATGCTACCGGCACTCAAAATTGTCATGTTTTTTAAACTAAAAATGTTAAGCCCGTATTAATGCGCCTGGGGTGAGAAGGTTGCAATTTTTTTGCAATTTTTAAGCAGTTTATCTTGCAATTTTTTTCAGTTTTTCCATTTTAAAAATGCAATTTTCCGCGGGGCCAGGCTATTCACTTGGCTATTGCTGGGATAAGGAGGATTAATGTTTTTGCTTGTTTTTGGTAAGTGTTTTACGGCACTCGCAACTGCATAAGATCATAATATGAGCACGCGGGACAAGTTAAACAATTTCAGTTTGGTACCCATAGGAATTAATTTAAAATTTTACCCAGGTGGGGTCCGAAGCCTACTCTTATCAATTTTAGGACCACCAAGGGATCTTTAACGGGCACAACTTGAACACGGGATCTCCGAGTTTGTTTTTTTTCGCTCCTACTCCTATCCGAGAAGACTAGGTGTTAGATCTTATCTGACCTCAGATCAAGGGTGTGGTTGAAAGACAGCAGTAAGAAGGGGCCAAGGAGTAGCAGTAGAAAGGCTGCAGAAAGAGTCAGGAGCCCAGAGGAGAGGGTGGGGTCAGAAAGTTGAGACGAAAGCAGACGATAGAACATGATTAGAAAGCAGGGAAGGAGATGAAAGGAAAACAATTTAGAGAAAAAAAATTGGAGGATTTCAATTCAAGCAGATACCTTCAATTAAATGAAATATGACATGGATATTTTCAGTGCCGAAAAAACAACAACCTACATACACAGTGACAGGACGTTAAAAAGTAACATGTACTGTACACACAACAAATGTACACACAACATATGTACACACAAACTGTCCTATGTACACACAACATTATATGTACACACAACACACGTAAGCACAACATTATATGTACACAACATACGTACACACAACCTATGTACACACACCATATGTACAGTCGAAAATTCCTACACGGCCACCTATTTTCTTCTCTTTTTTTGTACAGGTTTTACGGCGCTCGCAACTGCATATTAAGGTCATATGAGCGCCAAGAGGTGGATGTCAACTGAGAAGTCCTTACAGAGAATCTGACTTACTCTGCTCACCTCTCTAGCTTCAACAGCACAAAGTCAACTTCGCCTATCAAGGCACCCCAAAATAGCAGGTCACAAGAGTGTGACAAACATACAAAAGAAGTAGAGGAAATGACGATAGTAAGGATTAGGAAAGAAAAAGCAGCAGTTCCCAGTTGCAGTTCGGGCACAGTTATGAGCATGACATTGATGAATCAGCCCAATTACAAAATTTACAATTCTACTGTGCATAAGAACTCGAGATGTTAATCCCCCCCCCCCACCCGCCTTTGGGAATGGCCTCTAAAGACACTTCAGTCAGTAGCACCGCCCCGGGGGTTCAATTTTCTTAGACAGGTGGACGTCTTGAACAGTGTCATTGTACATGTAATACTTTTTTAAAACGCAAGGTTGGCGTGGGAAGTGATCGTTTGTACAAGTGACTGTCTTAGACAGATGGTCGTTGGAGCAGGTTGGGCTGTGCTTACAAATAAAGATTTTGATAACTGCAGACATATGTTGAGATTCAATCCATCAACAGTGTTTTTCACACATAAATACATGAGTGATTTTCTTTTATTAATTTTTGAAGGAAATTTCTGGACACAAATTTCTGGACATGTCCATAAGAAGTGTGAATAATCTCATTGTTATAACATGACATAAGTAAACCACTACCGTTGTCTTGAGATTATATTGAAAACAAAACCTTAAGGAATTTTTTTAACAGCTTAACTTGCATTTTGTTGAAATTATCTTTTGTTAGGGAAATTGTCTTGCTGAAGTTTATATCATGTATAATTAGCTTCGGAGTACAGGATTTGACCCCTTTTTTTTCTTAATTATTATTCATTAATTTAAATTTAATGTTGTTAGACATAGGGAGGCAGGGGGTCTATGCTTACTTTTTCAGTTGAAGAAATATTATTTGGCATGGATGCACACAACATTCGTAACGCAAGAAATGGTTCGCTTCGTGTGCGGAAAGACCTAGAGCAAAAATCTGTGACAAAAGGTAGCCAATCCCTAGCTGCCCCCCCCTCTCTCTCTCTCTCTCTCTCTCTCTCTCTCTCTCTCTCTCTCTCTCTCTCTCTCTCTCTCTCTCTCTCTCTCTCTCTCTCTCTCCCTCTCTCTCTCTCTTTTTTCTCTCTATATGTCTCCCTTTTCTCTCTATGTCTCTCACTCTCTCTCCATCTCTTATCTCACGACCTGAGTTGTTCACAACTCTGTTATGTCAACTTTTTAAAAGAGTAGGCCTATAGGATAAAATGCTCACAAGTGGAATATCATAATTTTTAATTAAATTAGACCGAAGCGAAACTATTTAAAATCACCGTTAATGATGAATATTTTTACACTTGCAGGCATTCTGGTATGGTTTATTTCAACACCCCCCCCCCCCCCCCCCCCCCCCCCCCCCCCGAACGGATTCTCGGTAAATTTCAAGCCCTGGACTTTTGATCTACGTCCTGATAAAGTTGTCAATTAAGTTTGGGCAGCGTTTACAGTCAGTCAAATACAGTTCTTTTCTGGTTGCGTCATCAGTTGAAAAATTGACAACAGCAGGATGGTTATATAATATAACCTGAGATGAGATAGATTATTATTATGTTCTTGCGCTCCGATGATACAAGCAATGTTTGATACGAAAGTTTTGATTCAAATAATTATTGAATATGTACTCTGATGATTTTTATTAAAAGTAAAGGCTGATACTTAGGGTTTATTCAAGTAATGATTGATAAAAGTAATGACTGATACATGGACGATTGTTTATTTAATTACTGATACATGAAGATACTCAGGTCACGATTCAAGCATTGACACATGTTGATACTCATGTAGCGATTCTATGACGAGGGTATATTGAGGTATTCCTGAAACACATTTTAAAAGCAATGATAGACGGCAAGAGAAGAAGGTGGAGACCTAAAAGAAGACAAGGAAAGGACTAATCAGCCTGGGTAGGAATCAAAACAATTCAGCAGGCACAAAGGCAAGAGACAGAGTCTTTTTATTGCAGGAAGGTCCAAGAAACAATGTTCAACTGCTGGTTAAAAGCTGAGAATAAGAAGATGTTGAGGTTATGCGTCAAGTAATCGCTACCTTGGAATTACCAAGTTCTATCTGCTCAGTTCCTAGTTTTGAGAAATTTGAAGAAAAAAAATTTGAGTTTCACAATATTTAGCTATTTCGAATGCAGCTCTTTGAATATTTTCATTACAACTCAGAATAATCTTGCGATTTTGATAGATCAGAAAGAACATTTTATTTATTATCTCATGGCGTAAGTCACTCAAAATGGCCAAAAATGTCAGATAGAACTTTGTACGCGTAATTCTGATGTAACGTAATGGCACACGTTGGCATTCGGGTTACTATTCTATTTATGACACATTATCAGAGTATTGATTCAAGTAATAATGATTTCTGTGTTTACCTGTGCATCAGCCCGGGGCTCAAAGCTGACTTCCATCTCGTCCTTCCCCTCCGACATTCGCCTGGCCTGGATGAGGTACTTGAGCTCCACTTTCAGCAGCGGCGTCAGGCGACCACACCGGACAGACTCGCGGGCAGCGCTCAGTAGACTCAGTTGGTCACCATTCCCGGAACCACCCCCACCCGTAGCTGCAGCAGCAGCAGCAACAGTAGTAGCAGCACCAGCAATAATATGCCGAGACTGGTTGACCAGGTGTTGGTAGTTGGAGACGTCGTCATGGCAAACGTCAGCGAACACGTCGTCGTTGTCGTCGAAGTCGTCGTCGACGTTGTTGTTGTTGGCGTCGCTGGTGCCGTCGAGGCACGGGGAGAGTTCGGAGACGGAGCTGTGGAACCAGGCGCTCGACTCGTCGCCTGTCGATGTGCTAGAGAACACCGTGCTACGAGAAAGAAGAGGCTGTTGTTGTTGAGCTGGTTCTAGCTGCTGCTGCTGTTGTTGTTGCTCTTGAGCCATGATTTCGGAATGAAAATGTTCCTGATCTTGATGCTGTAACTGTCGTTCCTGTTGCTGTTGGTATTGATAGAAGCTGAGAAAGTCCTGATGATGGCGCTGCTGCTGTTGACCACGTATACCGTGAGAATTTGAGTCCACTTTTAACGACGTTTCATCACCAGAAAGACCACTTACCAGAGCGCCAGAAGCGTTGGCGTTCTCGTCATTCTCATACTGTCTGCTTTGGAGAAGAATCAAGTCGGCGCCGTCCCCACATACGGAGGCCGGGCTATCCTGCTCCTGAAACATCCTCAAATTTCCGTCAGTTGGGGGGAACAGAAAACTGGAGGTAAGTACAGAATCCAGAAGAGATGGCGAAGAACTCGGAGACCCTCCACACGGTGATTTGGAACTTTCCATAATAACTCTTTCACTTTCTCCTGCCCGCTCTTTACTCTAAAAACTTGTCAGTTCTTTCCAACTTCGTTGTGTACTCTTTAATATCAACTCCAAGGAGTCTTGTCTCGCTCACAGGTGGTGTCTCGCGCGGAGGAGAACTGAGGCTGGGGGGCGCCAACTCCAGTTTTTATTTTGTCTCTCTTTCGCGATACCAGACGTCTCGCTGCTCGGTCGTGGACGAGGGTTCGTTCGTGTTTGTATTCCTGCCGTCTGAAATACAGCGCGCGTCACGGTAGGCAGAGAGGAGGGAAGATCTGAGGGGAGGTAAGGTCGCGGCGTCTCGCACTGCCATTGGCCAGCGGGCACGAGCGGGGAGTGCGCGCGTAGTACGCTCGTAGTAAAACAGGGGATCCCCCCTTGACGTCAGCATGAAGTGTTACTATTTTTGGCCCCGGCAGCAAAAGCGCCGCCCAGACTTGTCAAGACTTACCAAAGATCTACAGCCAATCAAATGCTGACTGTTGATCTCAGCCGCAGATCGGGCTCTAATTAGGGACTGTTTCACGGGTTATTTGTGACCGCTGGGACATTACTCATCGCGTTTACCTACAACAAGAGATTAATCATTGTACAGCAGGATTAGGCAGAGTTGATAGCAACAGTTGGCAAAACGAAGTGCACGCAGCCCCTTTAAACCTACCTCCACCCCGTTCTCTCTCTGTCTCTGTCTCTCTCTTTGTCCGTCTGTCTCTCTCTCGGTTTTCTCTCTCTTTCTCTCTCTCTCTCTCTCTCTCTCTCTCTCTG